GAGCTCAAAGCTGAGCCCTGACACAGTGTCAGGAGCTCAGACCACACACAGCAAAGAAGCCTTTGCCCACCTGGACCAAAGCTAAACTTCTAGCTCAGGTCCTGACCCTACTGTAAAACTGAGGCCGAAAGGGGCTGGGATACAATGAGCTGCTGCTGCCCATGGCCACTGGAACACGGAGAGCGTGCCATGGGCACAGCGACTGCCTCTCGCTCACCAAACAGGAAACCAGACTGGCTCCCAGTGGATCCCTGCTCATGCCCAGGCTCCCCACAGTGTCAGGACACAGGCAGGGATGTCAAACCCACCAGGATGCAGAAGTCGCATTTCCAGAGCACTTTTCAGGGAGCTGAGCAGCTGCTGCCTCTGGTTAGTCCTTTCCAGGCAGAACTTGAGGTCCTCCACAGCCGGCTTCGACTCCGGGAAATCTGCAAAGCCAGCAGTGAGCAGGAGCAGGGCCACGCTCCGAGGGGAGGCACGAGGAGGCAGCGTGGCCCCTCAGGGGGTGCAGACAGGTCTATCACCCACCCAGGCCCAGTCCAAGGGTGAATGAGCACTGGCTGGGCCACCCTACCTCGGATGATGCTGAAGAGCTCCTCGATGCGCATGCTGGCGTAGATGCGGTAGAAGAACCTCTGGACGTGGCACCTCCAGCGTTTCAGGGTGCTGCTGGCTTCAGGGGAGGAGCGTGCCAAGGGCCCATCCTGCAGGAACACCCTGCTGAGCCAGCCAATCACCTTCTCAATCCACTGCACGAGGAGAGGGAGACACACGTGTGAACACCACAAACATGTCCCACGCTTAACCCACCTGAGGCAGCCAACACAGCCAGCAGGAACAAGGACAGCTTCACCCCCAGCTGCTCTCCAAATCTATCTCCAGAGTTGGAGAAAGTCCAGCTGAAATAACTGGGATTTCAGTTAAAGATCCAGGATATGGACTGTGCAGGTGTGTGTGAGAAGATAAGGAGTAACTGAGGACTGTGCACAGGCTCTGGGCTCCAAAAAGGACAGGGTATATTCCAAAACTTGCAGACTATTCCATTCTTGCAGAATTCCATCCCATTCTATATTTGCAGAACTATCCCCTTCATGAGAAATTTAACAATTTGCCCATCACACAACCCTTGGCCCAAAATTTCTGTGGTTCCTGAAATCAATGAAAAGCAAACAAGCCATCCCAAGGGCTCACAGACACCCAGCCAAACTCAGGCATGTGAAACCTCAAATACCAGCCTAGTCACTGAATAATAAAATAAAAACCTGAACAGAAAGCATCAGAAGGTTATCTTTTTATATTTGAGATTTAATTTTCTACAGAGAAATGTGTAATTGTCAAATTTCAAAGGTGTTCAACTACAATACCCAGAAATGGGTTTTTTCCCATTATGGTGGCAAATATACAGTACTTCCTGGGATAGTATTTGAGTATTAACAGCTACTAGATATTAATATTTTTTTAATAAGCAGATTCTGACAGCCTGAAAGAAAAATGCTAAGTCAAGGTCTGTTTTGCTGGTGCTCATTTTTAATTATCTACCCAACTGAGGAAACACTGAAGACATGCACAAGTTCTGCCAATGACAAGGCAGGATGAACCTGAGAACTGCCAACACCTGGGCATCGACCTGGGCACAACTGTGGAGAAGCTGATAAAGAATTCTCCTAAAGGACAAAAGGATGGGACTATAACTGAAAAAAACAACTTGATGTTAAGGAATTACTATCAAACCAACCCATTCTTCCCCATGGTTTATCTTCTCCAAGTGCTCCTGTTACAGCCTGATTGCAAACTGACACTCCAGGCAGCTGCTGCTGTGTCTGCAAAGGGGTTTTGCCCTCAGCACCTGTACTTTCAGAGCAACCTGCTTCTCAGACTTCTCCTATTTTACCTTTAGATTGCCAGGCTTGTGCTTTCTTTTTTTCTTAAAATTGTCTCTTCCTAATTCTGACTCGCTCCAATATTCTGTGGCCAAACACACTGGCCCTTCTGAAGAGGTGAGAGCAAGGGGACCTTCTGCAATGTCTGATGAGCAGAATGCAGCTGCATTTTGTCTGATGCCCTTAAAATATCCTTAAACAATCTCCAGCTCATCCAAAAGCATTTCATACGAGGTGCAGTAAAGAAAGTGTTACAGAGCTACTAAAGGGAAGTAAACACAAAATGACTCCTGATGTTTGCAGGCAACAAAAACAGTGGGCCTGGCAAACAGTGAGGAAACCAGGGCAACCACCATGGTCTGGCCTGTATGGCAACCTGGCTGCACACCTTGTTCTCTGACACAGGCAAAGGCAAGGTCATGACTGAGGGACACAGGACTGTGTCCTGGAAGAGCCATAACCCAGAGAATTTTATTTTAAGGTCATAGTGGTAAACAGCCTCACGTAAATTTGGTTTAAGTAACAGCAAAGCAACTGGGCAGTTGCAAAGAAAGACTTTAATTCTCCTTGTGGCCACTGGTGAGATCAATACCAGAGTATCCTCTCTCATCCTCGCTTCTTATTTCACAGGGGAACTGTGAAGGGGACAGAAAACAGCCACACAAATTCTAGTTGTGGGCTCACCCTCTGCAGCCCAGGTGGTACTTGTGGATTTTGTAAACTGGAACCACAGAAATTCCCTCGTTACTCTGGACAAGGTGAAATACAACTGTCCACTGTGCACAGGTCAGAGCAAACCTTTCCCTCCAGCAGCAATCAGAACAGAGAGTTTAAACCACCTTTCCTGCCTGGGATGGTGGAAGTCACAGCCCTGGACCAGGTGTTTTCAGGTGGAACCTGCTTTAAGCCTGAGCTACTGAACCAACAGCAGCTGCACAGCTCCAAAGGAAGGGCCCTTGCTGCCCACAGCCCTACCTTACCTCCTGGAACTCATTGAGGAAGGAGTGCTCGTACTCCCCCCGGCAGCGCTGCTCCATCCTCTCCTCGATCATCCTGTGCAGGATGGTGGTGACAGCATCAGCACTCACCCTCTCCAGCAAATTCAGCCGGCGCCTGTGGACACAGAGTGACCCATCAGGAGCGTGTGGGAGCAAAGGTACAAGCAAATGAAGAAAATCTAAAACCTGAGGGCACCTTCCCCCCTGTACACTCCACAGGTGAGGCCTCAGTTCACATGCTCTGATAGCCCACAGAGAGGCACTAAATATGTAACACATGACACTACTGCTGTCCAGTCTTCCTTACAAACATTTTTCTCTAGCCACTGAAAGCTTTATAGAAGAGTTTCATAGAGGTTGGGGTAGAAAGGGACCTTAAAGATCATCTAGCACAACCCCCTGTCATAGGCAGGGACACCTTCCACCAGTTTGTTTCTTTGTGGTCAGAGGGTCTCAGAGGAAGAGCAAAATATTCTCACATCCAGGGAGAGGAACCTTCTGTCTAAAGATCTGCTCCAGTTCAACCACCAGTTGGAAACCAGCTGTGTTAGGTTCTCTACCCAGTACCATGACACAGCCTGACCTCATACACAACTCCTCAGGTTCTCAGGAATCAGTAAACCTGCTGCTGCTCCCCATCCAGACCCTCCCTCGTTCCCAGTGACAGCTACCACCCCGTGACATACGTACAGGATGTCATTGAGCTGCTGAAACTGCTCCATGGCTCGGGGGCACCAGCACTGCTCCCTCTTGCTGCTGCAGCCTGGGCACAGCGAGCCCTCTCCCCCACCCTCCTCTGTGTCGCTCTCCTGCTCGGTCTCGCTCATGCTGCTCTCGCACTCGGTCGTTCCATCCTCTCCCTTCTTCCACTGCCGCATGTAGATCCTGAAAGTGCGGCTGTAGAACTGCTGGATCATTTCCTGGAAGGATTTGGTCGTGGTGAAGAAGAGGATAGCCTTGAACATGGTGTAGACCTTCTCTCGCAGCGTCTGAGCGCCCGTGCCCAGGAGCAGGCCAGCCTTGGTCCACTCCTCCAGGAGCTCCAGGCTGTTCAGGTAGGGCTCCAGGCGGCTCTTGAGCCGACTGAAGGCGTCCAGGAGGAGCGCGGCGCACTGGGGCTCCTCGGCCGCGTTCTCATACTGGATGACGCACTTCCAGAACTCAGGGCCGATATTTGCCTGCAGGTCTGTCTGCAGCACCTCGATGAACCACTCCTCCACCACCGAGTGCAGGTCGTAGCACTGCAGCACGTCCAGGGCCACCCGGAGCTCCGCATCCTGCAGCGGCCCCGCAGCCTCGGGCCTCGGAACTGCCTGGAAAGGACAGGGGAGGGGGACACTGAGTTCAGCATTTGATGGAACACACACACGGACTCTGCTGCCAAACAGCACCTGGTGGATGCCTGATGGGGTCTCAGCCCACTGCTGGAAGCCCAGCGCCCACCTCCCAGGGCTCACACCTGCACACATCCACCCATCATCCATCCATCCATCGCTGTCCCTGCTGGTGGCTGCTGCAGGACACACATCCTGGAGGGAATGCTGCAAGCCACCCTTGGGTGCCTGAAAACGCCACACTGTGGGGCAAAAACCTTCTCTACGGCCAGGTACTGTGGTAAAACCTTCCCTCACGGCCAGGCTCTGGGGCAAAACCCTTCCTTGGCCAACGCCAGCTCCTTCGGGGAGCGAGCGGAGCAGACCAGAAGCTCGGCCCGGGGAAGCTGCGCCCCTTTGGGAACATCCCTCTCCTGGCTGGGGTGATGGGGAGAGGGGCCGGCTGGATCCCGGGACCCCGACAGCCCCCAGGAGACACCACCCGAACACCCCCAGGCGCCCCTTCCCCTCTCCCCCCGCACAACCCCGGCGGCTCGGGCCGTTCCTCCCTCAGCCCCGGCGGCTCCGCCCGCCCCGCGGGCCCGGGGGCGGAGGGGCCCGGCCGGGGAGGGGCCGAGGCCGGAGCCCCGCGGGTGGGTGCGGAGGGAGCTTAGGGCCCCCCGAGGGCCCCCCGATCCCCCTCACCAGCCCCAGCGCGGCGGGCGGCACCAGCGCGGTGCTGAGCGTGTGCCAGGCGGCCGAGAGCTCCATGCGGGCCGGGCCGGGCCGCAGGAAGGGGCGGAGCGGCGATGAGCGGGGCCGGGGCCGCGCTGCGGGGGCAGCGCCGGGCGCTGCGGGAGGGTGAGCGGGGCCGGGGCCGGGCGGGGCAGGGCCGGGGGCCGGGCCGGGCCCCGTGTGACGGTGCCGGTGCCGCCCCGCAGGGCTGTCGGAGCTCCGCGCCCGGCGGGACGAGCTGAGCGGGCGGATCCGGGCGGAGGAGGCGGAGCGGGGCCGGCTGCAGGCGCGGATGGCGGCGCTGGCCCGGCGCTTGGCCGACACCAGCGAGAGCCTGGCCGGGCTCCGGGCCGCCCGCGCCAACATCGACCGCACCATCGCCGAGACCGAGGCGGCCTCCGGGCAGGTACCGAGGGAACAGCGGCGGGGTGTGCCGGGCCCGGGCAGAGACCCCGCTGCGGGGTGACATCCTCGTCAGAAGCGGAGGGACGGCACCGATCTCTACTCTCCGCGAACCGAGGGGATCGTGGAATTCAGAATCGCAGAATATGCCGAGCTGGAAGGGACCAGGGTCATCCAGTCCAGCCCTTGGCCCTGCACAGACACCCCAACAATCCCACCCTGTCCCTCAGAGCATTGTCCAAACCCTCCTGGAGCTCTGGCAGCCTTGGTGCTGTGCCCACTGCCCTGGGGAGCCTGGTCAGTGCCAACCACCCTCTGGGGGAAGAACCTTTTCCTGAGATCCAACCTAATGTTGTGTCAGGGGAGGTTTAGGCCCCAAGGCTGCCAGAGCTCAGTGAGCTCCTGAGGGACAGGGTGGGGTTGTTGGGGTGTCTGTGCAGGGCCAGGAGCCGGACTCGATGGTCCCTGTGGGTCCCTTCCAGCTCAGGGTGTTCCGTGATCCTGTGAACTCAGGAGCCGGTTTAGTCTGAAGGTCTGTCTGCAGCACCTCGATGAACCATCGCCCACATTCCAGTGAAAATCGTAACACTGCAGCCGAAACAACTGCTTGGGATACAGTTCCAGCTCCAGCACACACACCCTGGTCACAAGGGTTTGGATTGGGATTAGTTTTGGTGTTGTTTTTGGGCAAAGCTCATTGTCATAACACATCAAAGTGGTCCCTGAAACAGACCCCTAAAAGCAACCCTCGTTTGGGGAAAAGGAGGAAACCAGAGACAGGACACTGACCCAGAAGCCTCTGAATTCATGCAGGTAACAACAGTGCTGATGGAGCTGTTGCCCTGACACTCTTCCTGCACAACATTTAGTGTAATTTCTTTCATCTTTAATATAATAATGTCATTAAGAGTCAAAACGTTGGGGCAGTAGAGGGTGGGAAGGAGCAAACAGTGTGAGGACTGGTGCTGTCATTTCAGCTCCTGGGACAGCTCTACCCTTTTTGTGGACTTGTAAACTGCCAGGCAGGGATTGCCTGATCCCACATACAGGATCACAGCTGAAGTCACTTCTGCATTACACACCCACCAGCTTTTTATTTCTAAAAAAGGATCTTTCCAGACTACTTTCAGATAAGTGGCAATTTTCCTTCTGTTGGTGACAGGGCAGTCTGGGCCACAAGCACCCTTTTCCCCTATTAGCTGCTGTCTTCTCCTTCTCCCATTTGCTTTTTGAATGAGATCAACTACTCTGTGTCAGCTCCTCTTCCTCTCCCAAAGTCAGTACTTTTCCATGACAGTTATTTTTCAGGTGAGGCTGGAGCTGTTTCCTCAGCCCACTTCAAGACCTGATGGTTTGAAGTGAAGGGGGAGACTCACATAAAAATTTAACAGCTTAAAAATTGCCTTGTAAAGGTACACAAACAGCCCCTTTGAAAAGAAACCTTACCTGAGATCCCAGTCACACCCCCAGCCTACAAATGAATTCCTGTTTATTGAAAGGAACTCACAGGAGGTATAAAGAGGTGGTGAGGAGGAGATGCAGGTGTCCTACAAACAGAAACCAGTAACAGAGTTCCTGTCCTGGGGATGTACAGCACTGGTTTGTGATCACTCCTTGCTTTCCCCAGTCCCCACAGGACTCCACCTTCCTCCAGGATGGCAAGATCCCACCAGCACCTCGTCCTGCTGGGCACTTCCCTTTGGCTCCTCTCTGACCACTTAGTGATTTCCACAAGCTCACAGAACATAAAATGATCTTTGGGACTCCCAACTATCACATTTTGTTACAATTGTCCACTGTGTTAAAATTTTACACAGGTGAGATGGACAGGCAGCCAGGTTTCCTAAACCTCCTGTGGCCTAGAGCACAGTAAGCAGGGATGTTAGATTATGGGCACTGTAAGCTAAAAATAGGAGAAAATTAATAAAAGATTTAGTCTAACTTAAGGTCACTGTGGAGTTGAGTTAGGCTTGAAGCCAGAAGCCCAAAATGTGCAGTTTTAACAGCAGAATAGAGTTGAAACTGGGTCAGCTGAACACAATACTGATCTAAAAAGCCCAGGGATCAACATCTCCCTTAACAAAACCCAACCAACCAACCAAAAAAAAAAACCCAAACCAACCAATAAAACCCCAGAAGTTCAGCCCAGTCTGCTTTGGGAAGTTCTCTGCCTTGTGCTCCAAGACAGATAAATTACTTAAGGTGTTTTGTATTCAGAATATGGGCAAAACCCAGAGAAATTCCCCCCCAGACATTCCTGCAGGAACGTTACAGGATGATACATCACCAGGAATTAGGGACTGTAAGGGCTGGAGAACTCCTCTTGCTGCAAGGCAGGTCAGCTGAACTTGAAGGGAACTCATAAGAGAAACAGTTTATGTAAAAATAAGCTATTTTTATTTCTTTCCCAGGTACTGGACAGTTCTCAGACATTGCTAAATATCCTGAAGGAAGAAAGTGGGAATGATGTAAAGCCAGTGAGCCACAAAGCAGTTCATTAGGACAACAAGCACATCAACAAAAGCATTCCTAAACTTGATTTTCAGCCTGGGAAGTCCTGCTGGTCTGGGACAGCTGCTGTTCTGGTACAAGGACACCACATTTAATAAAAGCCTTTGTTTTGCAGAAGTAAATTTTCCTTTCAGACGTGCTTTGGTATTAGTTAGAGATCCACTAAAGTTGATCCTCAAGTGTTAGAGATGAGGGTAGGCATGTACAAAAAAAATACCCTTTATTTTGAGCACAGTGATCCTGAAGCTGCTTCTGCCCTCAGAACAGCACTCACCTTGCCCTGCCAGGAGTGAGCTCAGGGTACCTGGCACAGACAGGGATCAGAGCAGAGCTGGAGAGCACAAAGGCAGCGCTGGGTGAGGTGTGAATCAGGGGCAGGGTAGGGCAGGAGAGCTGGAGGAAGGAGCAGAGGAGCCAGCAGCACACAGGGCAGCATGTGCTGCATCCCCCAGCCCCTGAGCCTGTCCTGCCACGGGGCTGCAGGCACTGAGTCACCTCAGAGTACAGCACACCGAGTACCAGAGCAGTGTTTCAGCTGGCTGAGGTCAGGGGAACAAGCTGCAGGATATTGTTGGCTTTAGCATTCCTCATTGATCCATAGCAGAACGAAGTCAGGACTAGTTCAGACACCTTGTCCCTAACCTGAGCTGAAAGCAGCTTTTGCCTTACCACCTGCAGTTTTGCTAAGCTGTGAATCTACAAACAGAGCTGCCTTAAACTGACCTGGGCTTTTCCACAGGGAAGGATGCTCACTGGGACCTTTCCTGCTAAAAAAGCTGTGAAAAAACTTTTCTTCAAACATAGTCTCTGGTCTTTGGCTGTGGGCAGTGTTTAACTCCACACAGCTGAGAACTCACCCCTTAAATCTAGCACTCATTAGAGGCCCTGCATTTTCCCTCATTCTACCCCAGTCTCAGCACCTTGTCCTGAAGTATTTCATTAAGAGAAGCCTTAACACATGGAATTCCACAGCACCCACAGTACCTGTGTCACGTCCCAGGCAGATGCACTGCAGACACGTCCTGCTCCTGGGAGGTCAAGCAGGGAGCAGCTCTTGAGTTGGCCTGGACAGGACAAGGAGGTGCCAAGTGTTCCTTTGTGGCCCCTCCAGCCAACATCTAACAAACTACTGAGCATCTCATCTTTTTCTGTGTGTGTGTTCTCTTTCCAGAAGTATTTAGGCACAGAAGGGAACAGCTATAAGTAGGTATGTACTAACATTTAATCCTGACTCTGTTTTTCAGCAGAACAACCTTCCCCTGCTGCTACAATACACACCAAACCCAGTGCAAGGTATGCAGAGCATTCTCAGTTCACAGACCTCGAGTAGATATCCATCATCTCTGTATAACAGACAAACCAATAAACATATCAAATTTAATCAAAGATTCCAGCCTGTTCCTTTGGACAGAGCCCCACGCAGGGGTACCACATTCCATAAAGCCCAAAGAGGCCAGATCTTTTCCAACTGCATCTCTTTTAATCCCAAAGTACAAATCACATTAGCAGCAGTGTTCTATCTGTTCCAGAGTGCAATTTTGACCCTGAGTTTACAGTAGTAGAAAATGTAAATGGAAGATTCTAGCAGATTCCTTTGCATATTGGCTGCATTAAACAATTACAATAGAACTATAAAAATCCTAGAAAAAAACAAAACAAAAAAACCCACATTCCTTGTTCAAGTTCTGCAGAAGAAAGGAGTGAAAGTGCCCTCCTGTGCTTTGATTAGAGGAGCAGAGCCAGCGTGGTTCAAAGGAATCCTCCCCACAAACCAAGACAGATCAGTGAGATCTGGAACAGAGCAACAAGAGGAACTGGCAAACTGGAGCACAACCAGCAATTCCCAGAGACTGGATGCCAAAATTGGGTATGGACAGAGCAAAGCTATGGCCAATGTTTGGGAATTTTCAAGAGGCTCGAGCCAGTCTGGACACTTCGTTACAGATTGGTGCAAAAATGACACCTAAAGCTAAAGGCATTCATTCCTCTCCCCTCCCTCACAGGGTGTTCACGTAACTGGCACATTAATTCCATGATGGTTCAGTGAAACCAGTCCCAGAAACATGCCAAGAACAAACCATGAACCTTCAATGGTTTTCCGAACTGACACCTTATCTGTCAAATCACAGCCACGCTGTGAATCCAGCTCAGGTGCTCCCAGTGCTCCAACTCCAGAGCCATTCTCCACTGAGACCTCTGATGGGAAAAGTGTTACAAAAGCTGTCCAGACCCCACACAGTGCCTGGACTCAGATAAGCATCGAGAGAATCGACATCCATCCCGGGATTACAGCTCTGCCCTTCACACACTTGCCTAATCAGCAGCTGATCTTGAACAAGGAATGTGCAAGGCCACAGGCAGAATAAATCATACGCCTCAAAAGTAGCAATTAGGTCCCAAAATCCAGTGCAAATTTTCTCCGGAGATGCCCGACAGCATCTGGTCCCCCCTTGGCATCAGGATCCAGCGCACGGCGGGGCGGGAGGGCGGCGGGCGCCGTCCGGGGCCGGGGCGGGTGCACTGACACGTCCTGCCCAGCAGCTGCTGCTGCAGGACCGGGGATGAATCCGTCAGAAATAGAGCGCGGGCTCGCTGCTGAAATCCGAGAGCCCGCCCTTCTCTGCCGGGGTGAGCTGTGGGGAGAGAGGAGGGCTCATCAAATCAGAGCGAACGAGCACCCACACCTCTGCACTGGCACCTTGCCCAGGGCATCGATTCCCCCCTCCAAATGTGCCCTGGATTATCACAGAATCCCACAATAGCTTGGATTGGAAAGACCCTCAAAGCCATGGACAGGGACACCTTCCACTAGCCCAGGTTGCTCCAAGCCCCGTCCAACCTGGCCTTGGACACTCCCAGGGATGGGGCAGCCACAGCTTCTCTGGGCAACCTGTGCCAGGGCCTCACCGCCCTCACAGGGAGGAATTTCTTCCTAAAACCTAATCTAAATCTCTTCTCTTTTAGTTTAAAACCCTTTCCCCCTTGTTCTATCACCCACCCATGTAAAAAGTCAATCTCCCTCTTTATTACAAGCCCCTTTAGGCACTGGAAGGGGCTCTCAGGTTTCCCTGGAGCCTTCTGATTTCCAGGTGAACACCCCCAGCTCTCCCTGCCTGGCTCCAGAGCAGAGGGGCTCCTGCCCTTGGAGCACCTCTGTGGCCTCCTCTGGACTTATTCCAACAAGTCCATGTCTTTCCTGTGCTGAGCACAGAGTGTGCAGCTGCCTTAAGTCTCGTTCACACAGAGAGACAGGTCTGTTAGTGGCAGTGGGACCGTGTGTTGGTCCCTTTGGGAGCAGTGACACAGCTCCCTGGACAGTGAACACAAAGGCACATCTGTCCCATCCACTGCCCAGAGCAATCCCAGGACCACAGAACAGCACAGCAAGACTTCCTTATTTAAAGCCTCACCATGTCTTGGTTCCCATGGGAATCAGCTTCCTTTGGGAGGGGTCCCTCTGCAGCAGGACCCTCATACTTCTGCTCCTGCCACTCGCTGAACTTCACGGAGTGCTTTGGGGTGTAGCTGGATAAATCTGCTGGAAGGAGAAAGCTGGTGTAAATATTCCTCACCACCCCAAAAGGAGGTGGGGTCAGGATCCCAGCAGGGACAGCATGGAAGCTGCCCAGCTGCAGTTCCCTGGTCACCTCCATTAGCATTTCCACCCACGTGGAGCCCCATAAGGGTCTGTAGGAAACATGGACAGTGTCAGACACCACCAGAAACCCCACAGTGCCAACACAGGGCCTCACTCACCTGAGTTGGGTGTACTGGGATGCAAAGTGCCATTTGGGCGTGGAACGTAAAAAGGGCAAGGTTTTTCCTCCTCTGTTTCCGAAGCGTGGCCTTCCTCCTCCTCCTCCTCTTCTGCCAGGGAGCTCTCTGAGGGGTACTCAAACATAGTCTGCAAACTTGTCTCATTGAAGGAGATCTTCATCTAGACAACAGCAAAGGAGGATTGTCAGAGAGCAGCACAAGAACCCACTGATCCCAACGCTGGCTCTGGCACAGGCCACTGCACCCCAGGGCTGCACCCTGGTTTATAGGAATGACTGAATATCTCCCCCACCCCTTCCCATGTGCCTTGGTGGATCTCTTGCCATGCTGACAGAGAGCCAAATGGATGGGATGGAGGCAGGAGACTGAGGGGTCCAGACCACCTCTGGCTTTTTGCCCTTCACCATCATCTCACTGATGCCCAGCACCCAGGAGGAGCTGCCAGCGTGTCTCTCTCAAGATCAGTGTTGCCAAGCAGGAAAGGAAAACATCCACATGTTGGAAAGGTGACATTGCTAATGCCTGAAAACTCGTTTGTGTGCCCAGACTACAGAAATATGGGTGATCAGGACTCCAGTCTTAGGAGGACATCCTGGCAAAGAGCTATTTGAGCTACATAAAACAGGGCTTAATACCAGAAGTGAGAAGGTGGAAACAGCTAAAGGAGAGATGGTAACAGGTCGTAGCAGAGAAAGGAAAATACTGGACAAGGTTCTGGTTTGAAACCAGTTGTATTCAGTATTCTCACTAATGACCTTTGCACAGTAACTGGGAGAATGAAGGTGAATGAATGAAGGAGGAATTGAGGAATGAAGGTGACTCAAACATCAAGGGAAAACCAGAATTTTATGGCTCATCAAGAAAACTAGAGAGCAAGAACACTAGAAATGGGATGGTGTTTAAGACCAACCCTTGCTCTAAGACAAGTTCACCACCTGTGAATAACAGGAAGAAAATTTTGGATTGGCTACAGGATTGTACTCACCATTAGGATACTGCTTAAAGCAGGAATGAAGCAAAGCATTTCTGCTGGAAATAGGCACTGCCTGGCTCCATCCTGCCTGTAACACCCAGCAGGTGGTGGAAATAACTCCAGATATGCTCTTCCAAGTTGAAAAGAAAAGCTGAGGGAAGGGTTTGCTCCCCTGCAGCCCGTCCTGTCCTAATCATTATCTACCGCTGTGCTCGGAGGATCTGGTTACAGGTCACCTCAACAGGTGCAGAGGAGATTCACTATCAAAAACTTCCCACCAGCACAAGTGCAGGTTGAGAAAAAGCACCACAGCTCTTTAACACCAGAAAATAACCCCCAAGGAGCAGAGAGCTGCTGATGCCAGCACACAGCAGACAAACAAGGAGGAATTGCCAAGAATAGATTTACGCCAGAAGTAGGGAAGTATCCAGCCAACAGGGATCAAGGTTCAGGAGCAGCTGTCTAAAAGGGTGTTGTGATCCCTCTACTTCTAAATACAATTAAAACCCAGACAATAAGGTTATAAACAGAATTAAAAGGACGTGGGAGCTTGTGACAGGCGGCAGGAGCTGAATGGGTCTCTCCAGACGCCGTGTAACAACTGGCAAGGAGCAAGTGCAGCACATTTTTTACCTCCTGTGCCATATTTGCAGTTACTCTCACACCCAAACTCCCCCAGGGGCTGGGAAGTGGCACCTGGCCCCAGGCAGCTCTCAAGCACCACATGTGCTGCCCAGGTGCACCCATTCCCTGGAATAGCTGTCTCTGTCTCCCGTGGCCAGAGCACTGCTGGGGGCTGCTGAAGTCCTCGGGGGTCAGAGCTGCCAGTGGGCCACAGGGGCCCCTGTGGAACCTGGGAAATATGGGGGACCAGGGTCTGCAGGGCCAGACAGGGAGCATTTCACTGCTGCTTTTCAGCAAAACAGCAAGAGGAGTTTAACTGAAACCTGGGTAACAGAGTGAGCACCTGCACCTCCTCCACGCTGCAGATGCACACTTGGGGTGCCACTCCACCCCAGGATGGGATGTTCCTTGGACACACTCCCAGGATGGAAACAGCACAGAGGGCAACCAGCTGCCCTTCCCCGTTCCCTGCCCCAGAGCCACTCTGACCTTCTCCAGATGACACATGGGGAGAAAAGTGATTAAACTTCAGAGAAGAGAGGTTGGAATAAAACAGTCCTGAAGATTAGAGCATCCCAGTTGCTGTTCCCTGAATTTCCCATCCCTGCTGCTGACCTAGATGCTCCCTGATCCGAGCCAGGCTGGGACTGCTCACAATGTGGTGTCTGTACTGGGGACAAGCCACACTGCCAGGCACGAGGGCCAGAGAGTGGAGGTGCCCAGGACTCCTGGAAGCTCAGGAGCTATCCCAGAACAGACACTGCACACAGGCTGCTTACCAGTGCTGGCAACTGCACTGAAGGGCAAGAACTACATGGCTAAACATGGAAAACAAAGGAGACAGGAGAGATATGCCTTAGATTTAGAATTTAAGCTTGGGAGATGGAACTAAGTGTTCCTGGTTTTCTGTTATCTGGAGGAAATCTCTGGAAAAATTACTTTGAGTCCAGTTTGGACCAAAGGTGAGTGTAGTGCTGGAGGAGGAAACAGCCTCGCCAGGGAGCAAAACCAAAGAGCAGAACGCAGCAGAAGTGACCCAGAAATACGACCTTGCCCACACAGTGCCCAGAGGCAACACCCCAACAGCCCTAAACTCACACAGCTCCCACTTCCCACAGCCAGTTCATCCGGGGCCACGCTCGCTCCCGGAGCAGGGCTGGGTGTCCTGCTGGAGTCTCCAGGCACCCGTGCAGGAGGGAGGCAGTGCTGGAGCCATTCACACAGAGCAATCATTAACCACAGCAGTGCAGCCCCACACACCCAGGGACAGCTGGGGACAGCTCAGGACAAGACAACCTGCTGCCCCAGCAGCACACGCCGAAGTTCACACCAGCCAGTCATGCGTGGCACGGCTGCACCATGACACAACCCCCCCAGAAACCACACCCTCTGCACCCACAGCCTGCTCCCAAGCACCAGCAGAGCCCCACAGAGCTGCAATAAAGCTCTGGACGCACCCAGGCAGAGCAAACACAAGGAACAACCAGGAGCTGGCCCAGGGAAGGGCTGCAGGGAGCTCAGTCAGCCCAGCCCGTGCAGGGAGAGAGCACTAAAACCCGGAGCAGGAAACGTGCCGAGCTGCCCTTCCCAAGCATGACGTGCTTTCAGGGAAGCACAACCCAAGCTTGACCCAAAAGATGACGGAGGGTGATGTGCTCAGGCAAAACCAGGGGACACAGGGGCAGAGCTGCCTGAAGAAACGCTCTGAGCAGCTGCAGAGCAGAACTGAGCACTGTGTGGGGAACACAGGCAGCTTCAGTCCCAGGAACCATCTAAATAGGAAAATCAAGAGCCCAGCAATGGCATAGACACCAGGTTTGCACAGCCAGCAGCCCCTTGCCAGACCACTGAGGCTTTTATGGGAACACAAAAGGCAAGAGGGGACGTTTCTTCAGAAGAAAAGCGTCTCCCAGCAGAGCCAAGCACGCCGGAGCCCGGCCAGAGGGCTCTGCTCAACGTGTCTCAGCACTGCTTTCCCCATTTCTGCCCCAGCAGCAGCTGCCAGTTGTGGCAAGGAAGAATTTTGCACCCTTCAGCTGTGGATGCTTGCAGGGATTTGTCACTCCTCACTCAGCTGAAGGCTTCACCCACAACTGTGTCACAAACCAACCCATATATCTATATATTGATACTCTGCCCAGCAATCAGAGACGTGCTGGGAAGAGCAAAGCAGGCTTTTCAGGGAATATTGTGCTGCTCAGCCAACAGATTCTTGTTGCCATAGCAAGAATCATTTATTTATTTGCTAGGATCTGAACAGTAATGAGTAATAAAAGTACCCAGGAAAAGAGAAGGCAGGGTAAACATTGCCCAACGTGCGTAAATCTGAGTAGTCATACAAGGCTCATTTAGAAAAGAAAACAAAAGTCAACCTTCTTTCAGGGCAGGCTGCTGCCAGAGCAACCACCAGAGAGGCCCCATGGACAGAGACTTATCAGAAATAAAAATAACCAATTTATAGAAGCCAACCTATGACATAAGCAATGACAGTCAGCAGATACCTCACCTCCAAAGGGGAGGTGGGAAAGTCTGCAAGGCAGTTTTAATGACAGAGCAAACACCCCATGGCTTCTCACACCAGGGATCTCTCTGGAAGTCTCCTGGGGTTAATCTGCATCCTCAGCTCCGGAAGCAATCTCTTTAGTGTGGCTTTTCTCTTCTACACCCATTATCACATTTGCTTCTTGGCTGATGAGGCAAAGCCCAAATGATTATGTAGGGTGTTTGCACCTTTTAAATAGGAACTTCTTTGCAATCCAAATCCTCACCTTGTAAGAGTCAGAAAAAAATAAATGTTCTAGGCATTAAAAGAGACCAAAAAAAATCCCCCTGTAACTCTATTCCAGCAGGGAGAGTCAGAGTCAGCATATTGCTGACATCCCACAGCACCCAACCCACCAAGTGCTTCACCAGATCCAAACAGCTGAGCAGCACCAGGGATCAAGATTCTTCTTTTCAGGTACTAATTTTCCTCTGATCATCCTCTCTCCTCCAGCAACATAATTCCCAAGTGACAAACCCAGGGACTGCTCTGACCCCCCCAGGACACGTGTGGGCTGCCAAGTGCTGCTGGGTGTGATTTAAAGCAGCTTTTCACACCTGGTCAATCCAGTGCCTCCTCCTCTCTCAGCAACTGCACAGAGGGCTTGGTTGGTATCTGCAGGGAGGGAGGACCATCCAGCATGAGTGAATCTCAGAGATCAAGCATGAACAAAGTGAGTGTTGGGAGAACCTTGTGTTCCTGTGCAGTCTGACACTGAGCTCCATTTGCTGCTGCACTGGTTGTCTAAAGATTGGGTGGACAGCATGAAAGCACAAGGACATCCCACCTGACACCTGGAACTGCAGCAGCCAGCTGGGGGAAGCCTGTACACACAGAGCATCCCTGGGAGGTTTGCAAACAGCCCCCTGGGCTGGGCAGGAAAACTGCTCAAAGAGCAAACCCAGTGGGTTGGTTGGTGGAGGCTCTGCCCAGCAGAGCTCAGGACCCTTCTAAACACAGAACAACCTCCCAGCTGCCATGGGGTGAGAGGGAAGGTCTCTGCACAGACAAATAACTGCTC